TAGAAGTTTTAAAAAGTTATTTTTTTACCCTCTCTTTTTCGTAAAGAAATTCGATATGGATTCGATATGGTATTAGCACAGAATGATTTTCATTAATATGTAATCTAGATTCTAATACATTATTTTTTCAGCAACAATTTAAATGTTCAATAACTTTTCAATTCTCACTTAAACCAAGAATTATGAAAAACAGCATTTATTCGTTAAAACGCAAAAGCACCCGCAACTTCTTCGAAGACCCTTACCTCCAAAATTCTTTAAGCTGTCTTTATGTAAGAAGAAAATCCATACGGGTATGTGTATTTTTTCATAGAAACTACTTGACTTGCACAGCCCAGAATCACAATATTTGAAGACATTCACTAATAACTTAAATGTTTGTTGTAAGAGGAATACATCCAATTCAACTCTACAAGTACAGTGGTTGACCCTCACTTGTAGATTCAGTAGGTTCATATTTACTTCATTGATAAAATTTATTTGTAAAATCAGTACTCCTAGAGCTGACTGATAAGTTGGGTTTGGACATGATGAGTTTTAGGTGCTTAGGGCTTCCAGACTCAAATCTTAGAATTATTATTGTATATGGAAAATGAGTTAGAATGAGGAGAAGGATGACTATAGAACCCTTAGGAACATTAAGTGGTGAGTTGAGAAAGAGAGATTTACCTAGAAAGGACAGATAAATTCCCAGAGTAGTAGGAATGGAAAAATGATACAGTGTTTTCACAGAAGCCAAGGAGAAAGTTAATTTCATGAAGAAGAGAGTGGATTAAAATATCAAATGCTAAAAGCAGTCAAATAAAGATTAACAACAATGTGTATACATTGGGTTTAGCAACAAGATACCAATAATAACTTTGTGATAACAGTTTGGTAGTAGAGATGGCAAATTCCAGGTCATAATGGTTTGAAAAATAAATGTGAGGAGACTTCTGGTTTCAGCACTAAAGTGTAAAGACATTGGAAGTCATTACTCCCATCCTCACAATAAGAAGAAAACAAACAAACTGATAATCAATGACTTTTATTAGATTCATCAGAGAATTCAGGTCACAGGAAAAACTACTATCCCAATGTCTGGAGAGACAGACAAATATAAGGAATCACAGCTGAGATCAGCTGATTGGGAGTAGAAGATTCTTGAGCCAGTAACTGGTAGGAACACTTGGGTGCTAATTTTGACCAGTTTTTGGAGATTGAATGTGGGCTAGCAAGACATTTAAAAATCCATGGCATCTCAGTGTTAAGTAGTGGGGGAGGTCTACAATATCATGGGTTTTATCTTCAGGAGCACCATCAGGTTCTTTTGGTGAAGACCAGAGAAAAGTTTGCTAGTTTTTTCTCCAGGAGGAAGTGAAAAGTAACCATTTAAAAATACTCCCAGAGTATTTTCCATAACAAATACATACCCTCTAAGAGAAACTATTAACAGCTTATCAGAGCTTTGTTTGACCTGGGGGAAGGGAAAATTAGACATCTCTAACTCCCTTTAGCTTTCCAGTTTCATGTAAGGTGGGGAAAAGGCTAAGAAAAACTTTTGAAAGCCATAGCCCAGGGATTCAGGTCCACAAAAAAACTGAAATTTAATCATAACATTGTAGAACACTACCCCCCTATACCTTAGAAGTCTCCAGCGTAAGGGCAGTAGATTACAACTAAGAGAACTCTAAGATGCAGACTCTCTTTAAGGAGTTCATAGAGAAGCTCAAAGACAACAGACGAAAAACACACAAACAACAAGAAAAAAAGAAACTAGAGGAAAGCAAAGTGTCTGGCACCTACAGATACAATTCCCTTAGTTTCTATTATGTCTGGTTTTCAACAAAAAATTTCAAAGCATGCTTAAAGACTAGAAAAAAACACAGTCTGAAGAGATAAAGCAAGCATCAGCACTATATTCAGAAAGACTTTGACCTTGGAGTTATTAGACAGGGAATTGAAAATAACCATGATTGATATCTTAGTGGAAAAAGTAGACAACATGCAAGAACAGATGGCCAGTGTAAGCAGAAACACGGAAACTCTAAGGGAAAATTGAAAGGAAATGCTAGAAATCAAAAACAATGTAAGAGAAATGAAAAATGTCTTTGATGAGCTCATCAGTAGCTTGGAATGACTGGGAAAAGAATCTATGAGCTTGAAGTATGTCAGTAGAAAATTCTCAAACTGAAATGCAAAGAAATAAAAAGAAT